CCCGGCCCTCAAGTACTGAGTCGGGAACTCCGGTGCTAGGGCTTACCCTCTGTGCCTTCACGAGCCCTCCCTGTGGTTCCGACACACTCTAATGATTGAGAAACACTGTTCTAGCTCTCCTGATGGCAGTTAAAATAATTGCAGACGTAGAGATGACTTTATTAACAAAAGCAAAACTTAAAATGAATATTCGTAAAGGCTTCAGTTTAAATCACATCCGTTACCAAGTATGTATCAGATGCCCTTTTTTTTTTAGTTTTCTGTTGGAGTGGATCCTAATAAATGATAAAATCACAGATACTGCATTAATAGGGCTATTTATAAGAAAATCTTCCTTTTATTATTTAAGAGAGATTTTACTTTTTATAGGTTCATCCTGATAAAACTTACTTCACTGTCGCTGAAAAAGGAGTTTTCCCAAAGATTATCATCTATGAATATCCTTCTTTGAGGCCCTACAGAATCCTTCAAGGTGAGCCGACTACAACTTTTGAAATATTCCATGTTCAAGGTTAATGATATTCAGGGTCTTCCAGAGAAACCGAACTAGGAGGAGACAGAAGAGAGATTTGTTTAAAGGACTTGCCTCGTGTACTTATGGGAGCTGGCAGGTCTGAAGTTTGTAGGGCAGGCTGGCAGGCTGGACGTTCTTGGGCAGGGGTTGATGCTACATGTTCAGGTAGAATTTCGTCTTCCTCAGGGAAACTTCAGTTTTGACTTTTTAAGGACTTTCAACTGATTGAGGCCCACCCAGATTGAAATAACCTCACATACAATTAATCACCACCATTTTCGTGTAATTTTGTTTTCCATATAATTAATTTTAGTAGTTTTTTAAAAAGACTGCTTTTTGGAGCAGTTTCAGATTTATAGTAAAGTTAAGGGGAAGGTTCAGAGATCTCCCATATCCCTCCTCCCCCACACATACATAGCTTTCCCCATTATCAACATCACTCACCAGGTACATCATTTACTGAAGATCAGTCTACATTAGCACATCATAATCACCCAAAGTCTACAGTGTCCCTTGGGGTTTACTCCTAGTGTTGTATTCTATGGGTTTAGATAAATGTATAATGATGTATATGCATCAGTATATCATACAGTGTATTTTCACTGTCCTAAAATTCCTCTGTGTCCTGCCTATTCATAACTGTCCCCACCTTGGCCACCACTGATCTTTTTATTGTCTCCCCAGTTTTGCCTTTTCCAGAATGTCGTAGAGTTGGAATCATACAGTACGTAGGCTTCGCAGATTGACTTCTTTCACTTAGTAATATGCATTGAAGATTCCTCCCTGGCTTTTCATGGCGTGGTAGCCCATTTCTTTTTGGTGCTGAAAAATATTCCATTGCCTGGATGTACCCCAGTGTACATTTGTGTATTGAGGGACATCTTAGTTGTTTCCAAATTTTGGCAGGTTGTGAACAAAGCTGCAATAAACATCTGAGTGTAGGTTGCTTCTGTGTGAACATCAATTTTCAACTACTTTGGGTAAATACCAAGAGCATAATTACTAGATCCTATGGTAAGAGTACGTTTAGTCTTGTAAGAAACTGCCAAGCTGTCTTCCAGAGTGGCTGTACCATTTTGCTTTCCCACCAGCAACGTATGAGAGTTCCAGTTGCCCCACATCCTCATCAGCATTCGGTGTCCTCAGCGATTTGGATGTTGGCCATTCTAAATACGTGTGTAGTCGTACCTCCTTTTTTAAGTTTGTGTTTCCCCGATGATGTAGAATGTGGAGCATCTTCATATGTTTCTGTGTTATCTGCATATTTTTGGTGAGGCTACATGTTAAGGCCTTTGGCCCCTTCTGTAATTGAGTTGTTCATGTCTTATTGTTTTGTTTTAAGAGTTCTTTGCATATTTTGGATATGCATACTTTGCATAACAGTCCTTTATCGCATATGCTTTTGCAAATTTTTCTCCCAGTCTGTGACTTGTATCGTTTTCTTGACATTGCCCTTCTCAGAGCAGGTTTTCATTTTAATGAAGTTTAGTTATTAGTGATTTCTTTTATGGATCATGTCTTTCGTGTGGAATCTAAAATGGCATCATGATACCCAAGGTCACCTAGGTTGTCTCTTACATTAACTTCTAGGAATTTTACATTTCTTGAATTTTATATTTAGGTCTGTGATCCATTTTGAGTTAATTTTCGTGAAAGATGTAAGGCCTATGTTTTCATTAATTTATTTGTTTGCTTGTTTATTTTTTGCCTATGGATGTCCAGGTGGCCCAGCACATTTGTTGAAGAGACTGTCTTTTCTCTGCTATATTGTCTTCAGGCCTTTGTCAAAGATCAGTTGACTGTATTTCTCTGGGTCTATTTTTGGGCTTTCTATTCTGTTCCATTTGTCTATTTAGTCTTTCCCTAATGTCACACTATCTTGATTACTGTAGTTGTACGGTATATTTTGAAGTCCGGTATTATCAGTTCAACTTTGCCCCTTTCACTCAGTATTATGTTGACTAGTCTGGGTCTTTTGCCTGTCTGTATGAACTTTAAAATCAGTTTGTTGATATCCCCAAACTAATAATACAGTTGTTTTTGCACATTATTAGATTCGATTTGCTAATATTTTGTTGAGGTATTTCACATCTATGTTCATGAAAGATACTGTTCTATCGTTTTCTTTTCTTAGACAAACTGTTATTTGTTACATCAATTAAGAATAGTAAAAATAAAAGTTTTTTATTTTACATTCACTTACTCCTTCTTCAGTGCTCTTCATCTCTTTATGTAGATGTGTGTTTCTGACCTATATTATTTTCCTTCTGTGCAGAGAACTTCTTTTAACTTTTCCTGCAAAGCAGGTCTCCTGGCAACAAATTCCCTCAGTGTGTGTCAGAGAAAGTCTTTATCTGTCACTTTTGAAGGATAATTTCATGGGGTACAGAAGGTCCAGGTTGGTGGGTTTTTTCCCTTCAACACTTTAAATATCTCAGTCCATTCTTCTTGCTTGTGTGGTTTCTGAGGAGAAGTTGGATATAGTTTTTCATTCTTCTCTAGGTAAGGTGTTTTTCCCCTCTTGCTTTTTTCAGGAGTTCTTCCTTTATCTTCATTTTCTGTAGTTTTCTGGGCATTTATTCCAGTTAGTATTCTCTGAGCTTCTTGGATCTGTGGTTTGGTGTCTGATAGTAATTTGGGGGAAATTCTCAGTCATTATTGTTTCACATACTTCTTCTCTTCCTTTCTCTTTTCTTCTCCTTCTGGTATTCCCATTACACATACATTGCATCTTTTGTAGTTGTTCCATAGTTCTTAGATATCGCTTCTGTTTTGCTCTTCAGTTTTAAAGATTCTATTGATATATTCTGTAGCTCAGAGATTTCCTCAGCTGTGTCCAATTTACTAATGAGCCCATCAAAGACATTTTTCATTTCTGTTACAATGTTTTATATCTCTAGCCTTTCCTTGTTGTTCTTTCTTAGGATTTCCATTTTTCTGCTGACATTGCCCATTTGTTCCTGGATATTGTCTGCTTTATTCCCTTGGCATATTAATCATAGTCGTTTTATTTATTTATTTAATATGTATTTATTTTTGAGAGAGAGATAGACAGAAAAAGCGAGAGGCAGAGAGGGAGACAGAGGATCCAAAACCGTTTCTGTGCTGACAGTACAGAACCTGATGTGGGGCTAAAACTCACGAACCATGAGATCATAACCTTAGGTAAAGTCGGATACAACTGACTGAGCCACCCAGACACCCTAATCATAGTTGGTTTAAATTCCCAATCTGATATTTCCGTATCTGTGCCATGTCTGGTTCTAATGCTTGCTCTGTCTCTTCAAACTGTGTTTTTTGCCTTTTTGTATGCTTTGTAGATTTTTCTTGGTAGCCAGACATGGTGTAGTGGATAAAAATAATTGCTGTAAATAGGCTTCTTGTAACATGGTGGTAAGGTGTGGAGGGAGGGGAAGTGTTCTATGGTTCTGTGATTAGGTCTCAAATTTTTAGGGAGCCTCTCTCGACCCAACTTCATAAATGTTTCTTAGCAGTTTTCCCCCCTCAGGTGGGATGGGATGGCTAGAGGGGGCTAGAGTTGAGTATTTCCTTCCCCAGGTTAGTTAGGTTGGTTAGGCTTTTGTTAATTAGTTTCTCCTGAGGACAGGCCTCATTAAGAGAAGCAGAGTGTTCTGGTGTATTTCAGTTTTTTTTAATGTTTATTTATTTGAGAGAGAGGGAGGGAGGGGGAAGGAGCCGTGAGAGAGGAAGACACAGATTCCAAAGCAGGGTCCAGGCTCTGAGCTGTCAGCACAGAGTTCGACACGGAGTTCCAACTCGTGAACTGTGAGATCATGATCTGAGTCAAAGTCAGATGCTTAACTGACTGAGCTGCCCAGGTGCACCTGTTCTGGTGTATTTAAAAATGGTTCCTATTCCCCTCTCCCTGCTGAAAGCCTGAGGGTTTTTTCTAGGTGTTTACTGTGGGGACCTGGTCAAGCTCCTGGAGATAAAGCTCACAATATTTTTGAAGACCATCTTATGACTGGGCCTCCCTGGAGTTTTTAACTCTCAGATTTGTCCATGCTGAGCTTCCAGCAATTCATCAGTGATAGTTCAGGTTTTACTACCTGGCTCGGATATTTTGGCTATTTCTGCTGTGAGTCCCTGCTATAGTAAGTTGCAAATGCTCGTGTTCCCCTGTTGTATCTCTCCAGTCTCGGGAGCAGCCGTTTGCCCTGTGTCCTTCCCTCACTTATGAATCCAAGAAGAGTTGTGATTTTTTAGTGTGTTCAGCTTTTTATTTGTTGTTAGGATGGAATGGTGACTTCCAAGCTCCTTACATGCATAACCAGAAACCTGAAGTCCTCAATTTTTATTTGGTGAATTTTCCAGTGGCAAGTTTCTAATTATAGATTGATTTCTTTCTGCTATCTCACATGATTTTGTGTCCCCCTGCCCCCGTTTCATAAACTGGAATGTGTTCTCAAAAACAATCAAAAGTTTTTCTCTTGCAAAATGTGATTAAGATTTCTTCACTCTCCCCACTCACGTAATATAATTCATTCTAAAGCCAAGGGTGATGAATGATTTTGGATTGTTTCTTTGGGGATTCTTGGCATTCTTTCGTCAATGCTTATCACCAAGGATGCTTGCTTGCTCTCTCTCTCCTTTTCCTTTTCAAAAGAATACACTTTAGAAAATGAGATAAGTGTTGCCTCTGTTCATTGGCCTCCCATTCACCCTTTCAGATGGGACTGAGCTGGCTTATGCTTACGTGGATTTTAACTACAATGGTACCTTGCTAGCCTCTGTTGGCAGCAGCCCTGATCACACGCTGACCATCTGGAACTGGAAAGAAGAACAGCCCATACTGAGGACAAAAGCTTTTTCCCAGGAAGTTTTTAAGGTTACTTTCAATCCTGAAGATGATGAGCAGCTGACTACATCGGGATCAGGCCATATCAAGTAGGTTGTGTGACTGATACAGGTGTTGGTAGATTATCATTAATGATATTTTCTAAGAGGTGACCAGCTGGAGACATCTTTGCTGATGTTAACATTAGGATAATTTTTAAATGTGTTATCTTTAACTGTAGTGCTGCTTTTCTAATTGGATATGGGGATTTTCTTACCTGAGGGGCGCCTGGGTGGCTCAGTTGGTTAAGCGGCCAACTCTTGGTTTCTGCTCAGGTCGTGATCTCACCATTTCGTGGGTTTGAGCCCTGCATCAGACTCTGGGCTAACAGTGTGGAGGCTGCTTGGGATTCTCCCTCTCTCCCTCCCTCTCTGCCCACCCCCCACTTATGCTGTCTCTGTCTCTCTCAACATAAATAAATACACTTAAAAAAAAAGACAGTATAGATAAAAAGAAGGGCTTTTATTTTATTTTATTTTTTTTAAAGAAGGGCTTTTAAATGTAGCCTACTGCCTTATAGGCTTTACCACCTCAAAGGGTTTGTATAATGTCTTACTAACATGGCATGTTGACTTTTCAGACCCACCATTAAACTTGTTGTAGCAATACTGTATGATGGATAAGTCATTTTGACTCTGAACTCAGTCTTCATCTGTAAAATAAGAATTATAACAGAATCATTCCTAACCCAGGGCCCTCAATACTAAATTGCAACAGAGTTTACTGTTGATCTCGGTCTCTGGGTCTAAATTTCATGTCGTTTTCACTTTATCATACTCCGCTCTATTTTCTAGGATGGAATGACTTTGTCCTGTTCTGTCTTCATTCTACCTTGTCTTAAGCATTTATCTAACAACCTTCTACCACCACCCTTGGACTGCTCATAACTAGATTTCCAGCGTCCTTTTTGAGAAAGACATTTTTACCTAAGTTTCTCTTAGTTCAATTTAAACCTGGCCCTATTCTTATTCATTCATTAGAAATATAGAATAATTGAACAGATATTATTTTTAAAATTTTTTTTAACGTTTATTTATTTTTGAGACAGAGAGAGACAGAGCATGAACGGGGGAGGGTCAGAGAGAGGGAGACACAGAATCTGAAACAGGCTCCAGGCTCTGAGCTGTCAGCACAGAGCCCGACACGGGGCTTGAACTCACAGACCGCGAGATCATGACCTGAGCCGAAGTCGGCCGCTTAACCGACTGAGCCACCCAGGAGCCCCTAATTGAACAGATTTTTAAATAGAAACTTGGGCGAATTCTCAAGTAACCTTCTGCTAGCTATAGGCTAAAAATGTCCAATTCTTTCACATTTGCCCATCATTTAGTAAAGTGCATATTTTCTATGTACTGTGTCTTTGTAGAGGGATAGAAATGGAATAATTTCATGTGTGAAGTGCTATGAAAGAAACAAAGTATATGGAAATGTGTGAACAGAGGACCTACCATAGCCTTGGAGAAGGATGTTTGTTATTTAAGCTTTTGGCTTCATATTGGCTTGTTGATATCATCCATGATCTATTTTATATCTAGTTGGTAGACCAGATTCTTTTTCCTACATGGTTTTCATCATCTGACTGTTCATTGCTTAGACTATTAATAAGAAATATTAAATGAATAAATGTTGATTATTACTGCTTTTATGTGCTAGGCACTGTTCTAAGCATTTTTCAATAATTTTATGAGGTTGGTACTACTAATATGCTCACTGTATACATGAAGGAATGAGGGCACAGTGTTATTTAGAAACTCACTCTTAAGTTACACAGCAAGTAAATTAGAAATTTTTGGAAAACTTTTACATGTTCTAAAATGGTAGTATCCAATAGAACTTTCTGCCAGGATGGAATGTTCTGTGCTATCCAACCTAGTAGACACTAGCTACATGTAGCTATTGAATACTTGAAATTGGCTGGTCTGACAGAAACACTGAGCTTTAAATTTTATTTAGCCTTAATTTATTAAGTCTAAGTTAAAATAGTCAAACTTGGCTACAATTGACTGCATAGGACAGCAGGAGTCTCAGATATAATATCCACAAAGGCAGGGAGTTTATTTTGTCTGTTTTGCTCAATGCTGAAATCATATTGCCTAGAGCTTTCCTGACAGGTAGTTGATACTTAATACATAGTAGATGAATGAATAAATGAGATAATATGTGACGATGAAACATGTAAATGTTTGGGTGATAATAAAAATAAATACAGCCTCTTTGAGGTACATTCAGTCACCTTCTGGTTTGTTTACAGGTTCTGGGAAATGGCTCTAACATTCACTGGTCTCAAGCTTCAGGGTTCATTGGGTCGATTTGGCAAAACAGCCACTACTGATATAGAAGGTTACATGGAGCTCCCAGATGGGAAGGTGAGTGTAGCCACTATTCTACAATAATAAGATTATGTTTCCAAGTGATGAAAATAGATGAAAGCACATTATACATTGTGAATGTATACTAAATGTGTACTAAATATTATACAAACACATAACATTTAATATATTAACATAGTGACATATTGTCATTTTTTATTACGCCATGGAGTTGCAGTGTTTATGTTTATCTTTCCCTCCTCTTTTGTCATGATGGTCCAAGAGGACTTCCTGGCTCAAAGTTGTATATAGTCTTGCAGCTTTTGTTTTTATTGTCAGATTATTATTTAGGAAGATTGAACCACCCTATAGTGGCTCCTACAGACCCACTGTGCCTGTTTATTCTGTGCCACTGTGCCTCTTACAAAATTTATGGGCATCTTGCCTATAGGGTCAGTTCTGCATTAATGATGCATTTGGCTTTCTATTAGGATGAGTTATATAGTATTATTTGTGAATGTCTCTGTTATAAGTAAATGCCAGCATACAAATATAATTTTGAGGAACAAAATGGGCTACCTAGTAGATATTCTCTACCTAGTATCTACCTAGTAGATATTCTCAATCTGAAATCATGTTGTGTGGGAGGAAATAACAATTCTTGGATGCTGGTTAAATACATATCCAAACCTTTAAAATGATCATAAGTCATTTTAGCTTCAAATTCTGAATCCTACAAGAATTAAGCTAGGATAAAGATGGTTAAAACATGCCACAAGATAGATCTTTAAAAGGTTCAGTAGGATTCATGTGTATGTAGGGAGAAAAGAAGCCATTTTATTTATTTTTAACTTGTTTTATTTTTTATTTTTTTAAATTTATATCCAAATTAGTTAGCATATAGTGCAACAATGATTTCAGGAGTAGATTCCTTAGTGCCCCTTACCCATTTAGCCCATCCCCCCTCCCACAACCCCTCCAGTAAGCCTCAGTTTGTTCTCCATATTTATGAATCTCTTCTGTTTTGTCCCCCTCCCTGTTTTTATATTATTTTTGTTTCCCTTCCCTTATTGTCCATCTGTTTTGTCTCTTAAAGTCCTCATATGAATGAAGTCATATGATTTTTGTCTTTCTCTGACTAATGTCACTTAGCATAATACCCTCCAGTTCCATCCACATCATTGCAAATGGCAAGATTTCATTCTTTTTGATTGCCGAGTAATACTCCAGTGTGTGTGTGTGTGTGTGTGTGTGTGTGTGTGTGTGTATCACATCTGCTTTATCCAGTCATCCATCGATGGACATTTGGACTCTTTCCATACTTTGGCTATTGTTGATAGTGCTGCTATAAACATGGGGGTGCATGTGTCCCTTCGAAACAGCACACCTGTACCCCGTGGATAAATGCCTAATAGTGCAATTGCTGGGTCGTAGGGTTGTTTGATTTTTAGTTTTTTTGAGGCACCTCCATACTGTCTTCCAGAGTGGCTGCACCAGCTTGCATTGCCACCAACAATGCTAAAGAGGTCCTCTTTCTCCGCATCCTGGCCAACATAGTGTTGTTGCCAGAGTTGTTAATGTTAGCTATTCTGACAGGTGTGAGGTGGTATCTCATTGTGGCTTTGATTTGTATTTCCCTGATGATGAGTAATGTTGAGCATTTTTTCATGTGTTGGTTGGCCTTCTGGATGTCTTCTTTGGAGAAGTGTCTATTCATATCTTTTGCCCATTTCTTCACTGGATTCTTTGTTTTTTGGGTGTTGAGTTTGGTAAGTTCTTTATAGATTTTGGATACTAACCCTTTATCTGATAAGTCATTTGCAAATATCTTCTCCCATTCTGTCAGTTCCCTTTTAGTTTTGCTGATGGTTTCCTTCGCTGTGCAGAAAAAAGAAGCCATTTTAAATGAGAGACACACAAAAGGAAATGTTTAGAGTTAGGAATAAATAGCTAATATTTGGAATTCTACTTAGGAGGGAGCATTTATGTTGGCAAAGAGTGGGAAACTAGGTTGAGAAGTATGGTTGGGTCCTAGTGTATGAGGAGATTAACAGCCAGGCAGAACTATACATTGGAAGAGTAGAGTTGAAAATGAAGTTATGTATTAATCTGGCCACAAAATGCCAAATGAGTTGGAGGAAGGAAAATCTGGAGTCAAGGAGATGAGCTAAGAAGGAAGATATTACTTTCATTTCATTTTTCAGGACAAATGGAAAAAGAAAGCTAGACATGAGTGACATTTCAGAAGGGAAAGTCTTCCAGGTATCCGTGGCTTTGGGTGGTTTTGTCACTGGACAGAAGAAAGCAAGTCGAGATAAAGATTATCCAAAGTTAGCTGAGGTTTAATAATAGGTAAACCAGGTAGAATGGATAAGATTAGTAGACTGGGGATGTAGAAAAGATGGAGTAAATTACTTGGCATGAAGGAAATGGGGTGCAGAATGCTGGAGCAGGCAGGCAAGAATTAGATCCGAGTTTCCCCAAAGGTGTTTCATGGAACATTAGTCTGCACAGAATCTCTGTAAAAATAAGACTTTCCTGGTCAAATTCCTTTGTATCTAGAAATTTCTTTCAGTGATCTATATTAAAGTTTCCAGGGGATCCTAAAGAAAAGAAAGTTGTCTGATTTTGTTTATCCAAGCATATGTCTTCTGAGTTAATGTTAGTCAGAAGAGGAGCTTTTGAGCCAAGGTTCCTGAGTGAAAATCCTGATTCCTATTGGTATTTTGTGCAAGCCACTTAACTGTTCTGTTCAGTTTTTTTCTTTATAAAATGGGAATAATAATAGTTAGGACTCCTATTGATCCATATGATTCCCTGTGTGAATGAGGAAAACTATGTTTTCTGGGAAAATAAAGTGGCCAACCTGCATAACTGTACATGGTACCCTCAATAAATATACCTAGTTCATATGAGGTTTTAAGATTAACGTATGTAAAGTGCTCAAGTATCACTTGGCACAGAATCGATACTTAATTAGTATGACTTATTAGGTAATACCAGTTAAAATTCCTAAAAACTAGTGTTTGGCGGTACATACTCGGATGTGCTATTAAATGGATTAATAGGAACTGGTTCCAGATGATTGTTCTTGTTTGAAATTGGATATTCTTATGCTATAATCTTCTGAGTTCAGTAATTTTTCTGAGTTCACAGTTTAAAAAACTTGTAACATTTGATATTATCACTCTTAAAAAGTAGAAACTCGTCTATCGAGAGGTTAAAAATGTCTTTAATTTTTGACTCCGTAATTCCACTCCTGGATTAGGCCCTTAAGAACTAGGCAAAGAAGGCTATTTCAGATATATTTGAAAAATTACCAGCAACTTAGAGCGTAATCACGGTGATATAACACTGTGCATAATGCTAGGAGGAAACCCATCACAATGTGATTAGTGCTTGTTTTTGAAGTGGTGAATTTTCATTTCTACATTTTCTTATTTTTCTATACTTACTTTACTTCTCTTGATTATGTAAGTACAAAATCTTTAAAAATAAATCTCACCTGAATGTGAGGCATAAATATCCACGTTTGTCTGTTTTAATGCACATTCCTCCCTTTCTGCATCCCTGCCAGGTGCTCTCAGGGTCAGAGTGGGGCAACATGCTGGTGTGGGAAGGCGGCCTCATCAAAGTTGAGCTCTGTCGAGCTGCAAGAAAGTCTTGTCATCAGGGTCCCATTAACCAGATAGTGCTGGACGAGGGTGAAGTCATCACTATTGGGGCAGATGGATGTATTAGGGTAAGTTTTCTTGACGCTTGGTCAGGAGCGCCCACATCAAAGATTTACAGGTCGCCCTACTGGTGTTACCAGATTTTTACTTCTCACAAAGGTCACTTTATAAAGGACATCAGTGGCCATTTACTCCTACGGCCAGCGCATTTAAAATTATACTTTCCTTGTGGTAAATATTTAAATTCGAGTCAAAATTAATTTATAGCATCTTAGCAGTGAAATTTTCTGAGGGGACCTTTTGTTATTTTGATTCTCTGGTTGAAATAGTAGTTTGGGAAAATGAAAACCTATTTTAGCAGACTATAAACAGCGGACACAGGTGTCCTTTCAAAACACGCAGTGTGAATGGGTCATGTTTTAGGGATGAAAGTACCAAACATTCTTATTTTTGACTGAGGTTACTAACTAGAAATACACTCAAAAGTGAGCTGATAGGGTTTGCCTGTGGATACTCCCCTCTCTTTTCTCTTTACACTGGTGAACTCACTTGTCCTCCCCTGTGGACACTATCTTGCCCATGGTGTGGGCTAAGCTGGAACATTGCTCCAGCATCTAAGTCCCTCTAGTAGTTATCAGACCACTTCTCCCACCCACCCATGTATATGGACCCTGCTGCTGCTGGCAAACCTGGAGGCTTATGATTTGCCCTGTGGTCCTTTTGGCACATATTCCTACTGGTGCCTTTCCAAGAAAGTGGTAGTATTCTCTGGACTTTCCTTAGGAAGTATTATTTTCAGAAGTAAGACTGTATTTTAGAAAATAATCTCGTCACCCTGTTGACATATATTGAGATTACAACGTCTAGCTATATCTTTCCCAATCTGTCTTCTTACCATTGGCTTTTTGAACCCAAGTATAAAATTTTGCGTTTACCATATTAAACTTAATTTTGTTAGATTTTACTAATTGCTCTGGAAATTTTTATGTCCTTTCTTTTGTCATATAGCGTACTTACTGTCCATCTAAGATATAGGTCACCCCAAAATGTCAAAATACCAACTGAAGGGAAATCTCAAGATTAAAGAAATTAAATACTTCACAGATGGTCCTTTAATGAACACCACTAATTTCTAAACTGGCTTCCTTTTTAAATGTCACCCTAATCTCTTTAGTCTTTTATAGTAAATCTCTACCTCTAACCCTTTGGGAAAAACCTAGCCCAACTCCCAGGAGTCCATCTGACCTGTGGATCTGGGTCTCTCCCCTGTGGAGCTAGTCTATGGGACAGCACCAGTCCTCCCTGAAGTTACTTTCCCTAAGGCTGAGTTATTGAGTATGGGTTAACGGGGTGGTGTGTGTCAACAGATCCATCCAGGGTGGGCTCTGGGACTTTGTGCAGGAAGTCCTTCTCAATCTCTCTGCTGTGTGAGGTGAAACTGCTCCCTCATGCTTTCCATAGTGTTCTGCTGTCTGTCCCAGAACAGCAATCCTTACCTGAATAGTACAGTCTAAATCAATGATGAAAAACACTTTCTCATGACAACCTCATCTACACACCTTTTCTCTGCTTGTAATGAGGATTGAGTATGGATCATGAAGTCTATTTCCCCTTTCCAGAGGCCCACTGGTAAAATCAAAACAGGGCTCATTATAGTGTCTTGCCAAATAACCAAACCATTTACTCCAAATGGCCACTTTACATGCAGAAACACCTGATAGACCCCTTGACATCAAGTTTACTCTGGGCTAATTAGAATTTTTATTCAGTGAGTTTTCTCACTAAGCTCCATCCATACAAAGGAAATGATCATAATTTATTATCCTCCAGTTGGAACCAATATCTCAGGGGTTGAGTTTTGGCTGGTGTTGTCATTACCCCTACTCACTCATTTGCATGCAACAAGAAGAAATGACTTTTGAAAAAAAAAGAGCCTTTTCTTACAGAAAATGTAAATTCAGAAACTGCTGATTGATTGAAATATTTTCTTATTTTATAAGATCTGGGATTTTGAGACCATAGATACTGCTGACACTATAGACGAGACTGGATTGTTAGAGATCGAGCCCATTAATGAGCTTCAAGTAGGCAAGAATGTCAAACTCTTCTCTATGATAAAGATGAGCGACATGGGAAATAACATTTGGTTGGCTCAAGTAAGTTGCATTCTTCCCTCTTGGCTCTTTAAAGTTACCTGCACATAAAATTGAAGTAGTAACAATTTATTGCCACTGTGTTACTAAGTCCATTTTACTATTAAAACTACTATTGATATATCCTTAATTTTGGTATTTGCTGCCCTACAAGCAATTCCCTACAACCGCATTGGAGATGTAGGATTCATTATAGCCACTGGTAAATCTGCCCAGTTTGGCCTGCACCCATGATTTCCACCTGCTATAGAGAAACCTACACCCATCTCCGCCCTATTCTACTCAAGCACCACAGTAGTAGCTAGGGTCTTTCTATTAATTCGCTTCCATCCACTCCTGGAGCACAACACAACCATTCAAACACTCACACTATACCTAGGAGCTCTCACAACCCTATTTACAGCAAACTGTGCTTTAACACAAAATGATATTAAAGAAATCGTTGCCTTTTCTATCTCAAGCCAATTGGGACTTCTACACAGAAAACCACTTAGCATTCTTATTATATTAAACTATTTGTAATACGAAAATGCTTCATTTATTGTGTGTTCTAAGATATATAGAAGTTGCTTTTGTTAAATTTCAATCCCAGTTTATTTTTTATAAATGCTTATTTTTGAGAGATAGAGAGTGGGGAGGGGCAGAGAGAGAGGGGGACAGAGGATCAAAAGCACTCACAGCAGCAAGCCCAATGTGAGGCCTGAACTCCCCAACCTTGAGACTATGACCTGAGGTGAAGTCGGATGCTCAGCTGACTGAGTCACCCAGGCGCCCTCAATCACACTGTAAAATATATGTAAACTTGTGGTATTACTGTTTGTCCTTTATTTTAACTAGATCACAGGAAGAAAATTTCTTTTTATTTGATAAAAGTTCAAAATGATAAACTATTGTTATGTATTTAATTTTTTAGGATGCCAATGGAGCCATATGGAAGCTTGACCTTAGTTTTTCAAATATTGTAAGTTGCCTATTTTTCTTTTTTCCTAATTCTTATAATAACAATCTGTTATTCTTCTTTAAAAGATACTTTATCTTTCTCCATATTTGATCATTGTTCCCATCAAAAACTTGTCCAACATGTCCTGGTCCTGAGAATTTATTATCTCTCTCTCTGATTTTATAAAAAAGAAAAGGAGGTATCTCCTAGCAAAATCCACCAGAGAAGTGGCAATTGACAATGCCTAACGTTATCAAGTGCTTTACAGTTGTCATAAACTTATGGCATTTTCATTTATATGATCTTCTGTAACCCTCACAGTTACCCTGATGAGCAGGTGGGCTTTTGCTATTACCTCATTTTACTGGTGAAGAAATGGAAAGCCTGCAAGTACAATTCCAATACTTGCTTTTCCTAATTCTAAGAGTCCAGCACTCTTTCTAACTTATGCTTTTAAAAATTTCTATTCAGATAAAATCACACGTGTGTTATAGGGTTATATTTATAAATCTATTATTTTTTTAATGTTTATTTTAGAGAGAGACAGAGTGTGAGTAGGGGAGGGGTAGAGAGAGAGGGAGAC